CTGTTGCGTACCTCGTGAACATTCTGCGTGCTCTAGTCAGTACACAGTTTTGTACTTTATTCGAAATGTGCAAGGACATTATAACGCAACCGACACAGTGGTTTGTGTGTGTGTGCGCGCGCTCGTGCTTGTGCGTGTGTGTGTGCGTGCATGTGTGTGTGTGCTCGTGTGTGTGTGTCAAGTTTATTTTATTGTGTCAAGATTCATGTTTTTCTATTCAGAAGATAGTTGACAGACTCGAGATAGACTCTTGTGACTCCAGATAGGTCCTTGTTACATGTCTTATCCTATGAGTTAAGTAGTTCATAAGAGTTACACAAGTGTATATTTTGTCACGTTCTACAGTTTTGTGTTCCGGATAAAAACATTATAAATACAATTTTAAACCATTTCGATATCCCGGAAAGACCACACTCAAGGCTTTGAAAACCGACATAAAAGTAAGCTTTCCCCTAGTAGGTAATGTTAATTTTATTTGGTTACATGACCTATTGCTTGTAAGAATGAATTTAAATAGGACTATCATAGTGTTATTAGTTGCCATTGCGTTTGTTTGATTTCTGTTAATTCGTAGCTTTCTTATTTATTTCTCCTCTCCTTCTTCTTTAGCATTCCGAGCCCTTGTGGTTCGTTGCTGCAGATATTACCCGTCTCCACTCATATCTATTGTGGGTCTTCTCCTTCCAGTTGGTGACACCAAGTGTTTGCAGGTCTGTCTGGATGTTATCTCCCCATCGTCTTCTTGGTCTGCCTCGTGGTCTATCATTCAGCACCCTTGTGTATACAATTTTTAAATTTATGTCATATGAAATTCTCTCAGTATGCCTTGCCCGGCTCTCTAGCGCAGTTGGCTAAACCGGATTGCGCGGAGACCGGGTAACGAACTCCTTGTGATCCGGGTTCAATCCCGGGGGTAGGCAGGAAAACCACATTTCTCCCAGGTTTACGGTATTTACAATGGAATCAAGGCCGAAAGGTTGCGATATCCATAATACCGAGCCTAAGGGTTAACAACTTATGGCTTCTGGATACTAAAACAAACAAGCAAACAAAATCAATATGCCTAGCCATTTCAGTCTATTAGATCTTATGATACCAGTGATCAATGGTGACTTGACAGATTGTGAATTTCGTTATTGCTTCTCTCACATTCCCCGCTGTTTGCATCTTTGATATTCCCCCTCTAGACTTTAAAAAAAAAAAATGTGTCTTTAATCCCAATAATGCGTCTTAAAAAAGGTACTGGTACTCCCCACATAGTGTCTGTTACAGTAGCGCTGAAAAACATGAGGCCTAAAAAGTATAGATATTGTGTACCGCATAATAAAAGCCCTATGTATTCGGAAACCGAGGTAGCTTAATGATTAGCCCGCTGGCTTATCAGTGTTGTGATCGTATTTTCGAATCCCATTAAATACCACCTGTTCTTTTGTGTAGCGTTATTTCTTTCGATTCTTATTATTATTATTTTTTTCTGATAGTCCACGTCATGTGGCTTTCAGAGTCATGTCTGCCTGCATCTTTCTGCCTCGTATACTATCAATGAAGTCTGACACCGATGATCTTGCATGTTGTTATGTCAAAATGTCTAACATCTTTTCTCTTGGTCTTCCTCTGCGTTTCACCCTCCAACTGCCCCCACGCAGTATTCTTCTTCTCATGATATGACCCAAAGAATATATATTGATTCCTTCCCATGTGGGCAATCAGTTCTCTTCGTGAGCCAGTTTCTTTCAAGACACCATAATGACATTTTTTTTTTAAATCTGGCCAGGGTATTGTCATCAGTTGTCTTTAAAACCACTTATTCTATTATATTGTTACGCATGTTGCTTTACAGTGGCTTTCTCACCATACAATTTAAATTTAAAACTCTTACTTAGAGTTTGAAAAGTTGGAATGTACTAAGGTGACCATAAATTCCTGAGTTGAAAACAGAACAACCCACCAACACTTTGAGCTGAAAACGGGATATTTCAAACAGGTCAAATCACAAAGCTTTCTGTGTTGTGTGTTACTAGTTGTTGTGAACAGCGGCCTTAAAATGTTAACAGTTCTGAAACCACGGATCGTAACGCTGCACTCTCTAGTGGGATGTAGGCTGAGGCTGTGGGGTTGGGGTTGGGGTTAGGGCCAGTTCTAGATGTGATATCGTGAAAAGCGGTGTCGTCGTGTAGTGTAGAACACGCGATATTTCCGTTAACAGCACCGGAGACAATACAACGGGAGACCCCTGTAACATAGACTAGCCCGTGTGACAGATAAGCAAGCAAAAATGAACAGTCAACCAGTATGTATTTAGGCCGGAAAACGTAACAAGAATCCATATTAATTAGATTTTTGACCATAGTTGTTCAAACTGATCATGAAAACAAAACGTCCTCGGCTTTTTGTTGTATACACAATTTTAATAATGTAACTGATTAAAAAATTAAAGGTGGTATAACAGGTTATTACAATGTTGTACTCTATCTGAGTTACACACTAATCAGCACACTACCACACTGTTCTTTGGCTTGGCTCCCAAACTGTTGTGTGCTATCTGAGTTACACACTACACTACCAAATCAGCACACTACCAAGTGTCTAAAGATGTAACTTTCGCTCCCTCACTCTTGACGCCAATAGTTCCGTCACATAGCATATTTAATTGACAGAACACAAGAGGGTATACACAAGCCCTCACATCAGCAAAACCGCAGAAACGTAGACATTGATGACAGTTGACATTCGCACATAGTCCATTTAGTCCTCACTTGCTCTTTCTCAACTTGTAGCGACCTCTCCCTGACCACTACAACTCCAAAGACCTACAGCGTCCAACAACTCTGGGCACGCCGCACCGCTAAATAGGACGACTTCTCCTATCCACTGGACCTTAATATTTCAGCAGACAACCACGGCTGACTGGATACGGACTTCCCTTGCCGTTCTCCAAAAGCACACAGCACGTCAGCCTGTCGAAGGACTCCGATGACCGACATAACTTCTAACACAATTCCCCTCTAGCACACAGCTCTCGTCGGCATCACCCTCTGTTATGTTTCCGTAGTGACCCTACGTCTCGTCTCCTCGCGTCGTCACCCAGAACAGGTACTATTCCGTTCCTTTGGACTTACTTCGCCAGCGGTACTATACCTTCGACCAGTACCGCAACCTCAACCCTTACTCAGGCCTTTATGCCTGATAGTTGTACGGTACTCTTGTCTGTTATACTCAAGAGAGATTATCACTGACCCTGACTTGGTCTCTGTCTCTTTCTCTGTCTGTCTCTCTGTCTTTCTCTGTCTGTCTCTCTGTCTCTCTCTGTCTGTCTCTCTGTCTCTCTCTGTCTTTCTCTGTCTTTCTCTGTCTTTCTCTGTCTTTCTCTGTCTTTCTCTGTCTTTCTCTGTCTTTCTCTGTCTTTCTCTGTCTTTCTCTGTCTTTCTCTGTCTGTCTCTGTCTGTCTCTGTCTGTCTCTGTCTGTCTCTCTGTCTGTCTCTCTGTCTGTCTCTCTGTCTGTCTCTCTGTCTGTCTCTCTGTCTGTCTCTCTGTCTGTCTCTCTGTCTGTCTCTGTCTGTCTCTGTCTGTCTCTGTCTGTCTCTGTCTGTCTCTGTCTGTCTCTGTCTGTCTCTGTCTGTCTCTGTCTGTCTCTGTCTGTCTCTGTCTGTCTCTGTCTCTCTGTCTCTCTCTCTGTCTCTTTCTCTGTCTTTCTCTGTCTCTTTCTCTGTCTCTTTCTCTGTCTCTTTCTCTGTCTCTTTCTCTGTCTCTTTCTCTGTCTCTTTCTCTGTCTCTTTCTCTGTCTTTCTCTGTCTTTCTCTGTCTTTCTCTGTCTTTCTCTGTCTTTCTCTGTCTTTCTCTGTCTTTCTCTGTCTTTCTCTGTCTTTCTCTGTCTTTCTCTGTCTCTCTCTCTGTCTCTCTCTCTCTCTCTGTCTCTCTCTCTCTGTCTCTCTCTCTCTGTCTCTCTCTCTCTGTCTCTCTCTCTCTGTCTCTCTCTCTCTGTCTCTCTCTGTGTCTCTCTCTGTGTCTCTCTCTGTGTCTCTCTCTGTGTCTCTCTCTGTGTCTCTCTCTGTGTCTCTCTCTGTGTCTCTCTCTGTGTCTCTCTCTGTCTCTGTGTGTGTGTCTCTCTCTCTAACTCTCGACTCTGACTGCTCGTAGCACACTCGTGCTGGGTGTGTACTACACCCGCACTTCCCCAGTGCTTTAGCTCTATGGCTACAGCTCACTGACTCGGACTGTCTACGCAGCCCCAATTTATCTCTGTCAAATCGGTGTGGGTGGATGATGTTTACACGAGAGGCACGCTCGTGTAGGCGTTCTCGGGAATAATGCTCATGTGGAGTTCTCGAGACTCACGCTCATGTAGGCGTTCTAGAGGATCACGAATATGTGGGTGGCTGATGTTACCTGAGAATCACGCTGTCACCTAATTCAGTCTTTCTCTGTTCTTCTCGTTACCCATGCTTATCAGCCCCCACACAGTAAACTCAAGCGTCTACTTTCTCTTGCGTGCACCCCTCGTTCATGATAATACATTTTCACTGGTCAACATTCTCTCCTCCTCAATACTCGGGCAATGTTGACAATATTCCCCGTGAACTCACAGAAAGTACTATTATACCACTATTTCCCTTCACACACTATTACACTCTCCCAAATCAGCACGCAACATACAAGAACAAAAGCTCTCATTTTGAAAATTACTTGACGCCCCCCCCCCACCCCCCCCCCCCCCCCCCCCCCCCCCCCCCCCCCCCCCACTTTTAAACTCGGTTTCGCCGTTTTTTTTTTTTTTTTCACCCCTTTCCAGTCGACGTTGGAGACCAATGGCCTAGATGATGATAGATTTTCTGTAGATAGATTGCACTTCTTTTGCATTCATTATTGCTGTAACATTAATAACGCAGAAAACACTTTCGTGAAGTATTTCAAACCATGACTTCGTTGCTGATATCTTTGACAGGTCAAGAACTTTTGCTCCATAACTGTGACTGTCAAGGCGACGAGTGGTTTGTATCAAGATGCCAGAGTTGAAGTTGTACTATTTCAATGGGGGTAACAGAGTTCTTGTTTCTCGACTAATTTTGGCAGCAGCCGGTGTTGACTACGAGTTTATACAAGTTACGAGAGATACGTGGCCGGAGCAAAAATCCAGTAAGCTCTCTGTAATTCATCTTCTTCTTCTTCTTCTTCTTCTTCTTCTTCTTCTTCTTCTTCTTCTTCTTCTTCTTCTTCTTCTTCTTCTTCTTCTTCTTCTTTTTCTTCTTCTTCTTCTTCTAATTTTTCTTCTTCTTCTTCTTCTTCTTCTTTTTCTTCTTCTCTTCGTCATCATCATCATTATCACCATTTTCCTTTTCCTTATCTTCTCTAAACCTCCAAAGGGCAGGTAACAGACATAATTGTAGATATATTAGATATCACAACAGGTTATCTCCCGTTACATAAACATGTCAGCTAGTGCTATCCTATATAGGTTGGCCCTTTGACTAAGTCGATGCGAACGCTTCGTGATGGCGGGATGCCGGGTTTGATCCCAGCTGCGGGCAATGCGCCTTGCGTTTGTTTCGACAGTAGTATCAAAAAAGCCGACCGTCCAGAAGCAATAGCAAACTACTGGACGTAAATTTGCCTAGAAAAAAACCACACAACAGCCAGGGGTTCTTAGGGTTGGTTCTGCAACGTCATGTAAATAATACAGTACAACCTCGCTTAACGAGCACCTGTTATAACGAGTAATTCGCATAAAGAGCAAAAAAAATTGTAAAATAATGACTTGCTTAACGAGCGATGTTTCGCATAACGTGTGGTGAGGAGAGGGGAAGTCCCGGATTGTGCTCATGTTTCATCAGTCTGTGTTTAGCACTCGTTCCAGTAGCATCGTAGTGTCGCTTGTGATCACACATTTTCTCAAAATTGTGTTATATTGTGATATATGTACATTAATCTTCCAGGCCTATAAGATTACCTCCCTGAAGAATTTAAGTTCATCAGGATCCAATTTCTGCCTCCCAACACAACTCCGTTACTCCAGCCCATGGACCAGCAAGTTATTTCTAACTTTAAGAAGCTCTACACTAAAGCACTCTTCGAGCATTTTGTTCAAGTGACTGAAGGGATCAACTTCATTATCAGAGAGTTTTGGAGAAAATCACTTCCACATCGTTGCCTGCCTCAAGATGATCGGCAAGTCGTAGGAAGGGGTTACCAAGAGAGCCGCAACTTCTGGCTGGAAGAAGCTTTGGCCGGAGTGCGTTAAAGAATGTGACTTTGAGGGGTTCTAGACAGCATCTGTGGAACCTGTAGTCAACGTGATTGTGTCTTTGGCCACTATCATGGGACTGGAAGTGGATAACAGTGATATCTACGAGCTTGTGAAAGAGCACAGCCAAGAGCTGACCGCCGAAGAGCTTATGGGGTTCCATTGTGTTTCACAGCAAGAAGTTTTGGAGGAAAGTTTGTCAGAGGAGGAGGTGGAGGTAACAAAAAAAGCAACAATCTTCTAGGAAAATAAGAGAAATGTTGAAATCATGGCAAACTGTTGCATCTTACAGCGAGAAGCATCATCCTAATAAGGAAATGGCTATGTGCGTTGCAAATTTATTTAATGATAATGCTGAGTCGCATGTTCGCCAAATTTTGAAGCGTCGGCAAAAACAAATGTCTCTGGACATCTTTTTAGTTTAAAAAAAAAGAATTAGCTATATATCAAGATTGTTTTACCCCGTGTGGGTTCCGGGGCCCCATTGTGGGGAAAACAAGAATAGACCCACTGCCTCCCCAAAAGCACGTCATAAGAGTCAACTAATTGGGGAGCTTCCTTTGAAGTCGGAGTGCATCTGCCGGAGAGGCAAGGAACCAACAGTCTGTATTCAAGAGAATGAGATCTGTGAAACTGATGCACACGCAACACTCAGGTTCTGGAGCAGGACTGCAGTTCAGTAATGGACGGGCAACCAGAACTTTCCGCCAGTGTCCAGCTTGTGAACACGAAGAAGAAGAAGAAGATAATTATTTTGACTTTTCTTTTCTGCAAATCGAATTCGCATTCCAGGTGGGTTTGTTCAGCGTTTCAAGAAAAGATGAAGACGATTCACTCTCCTTAACAATATGTAAATAATTTTCTTTGAATAAACGTTATACATAGCATTTCGTGTGTATTTTTTTTTTTTTTTTTCGACATGGAAAGCATTATCGAATTTTCATTAATTTATATGAGAAAAATTGTTTCGCATAACGAGTGTTTCGCTTAACGAGTATGATTCTGGAACGAATTACGCTCGTTAAGCGAGGTTCCACTGTACGCAACTAACCTGATGGTATATTGCAGTGCTGGCATTCTTTGCTTTATCTTTGACTTAAGTACGTGATGCATGCAAAACATCTCGACCTCTAAAAGGCAGGTAACAGACATAGTTGCATCTATAGTAGATATCACAATAGGCTATCTCCCGTTACATAGATATGTTGACTAGTGCTTTCCTATGTGGATTATAAGTATTCCTTTTCGAATCTCGACACTATGTTAGGCATCGTTTCTGTTGATGTTTGTTGTTTTTTTGAGTTCACCCTTTGTAACCCCCCCCCCCCCCCCCCCCCCCCCACCCCCCCCCCCCCCCCCCCCCCCCCCCCCCCCACCCCAGCGCAAAGACCTAGATGTTTATCCATTTCTAAACTGTGGATTTTTTCCAGGACGTGAGTTTTGCATGTTAATCCGTTTTACAGATCTTGTTTATTTGTGTACAGACTGTTGGTCCCTTTCCTCTCAGACATATGAACTCCGACTTTGAAGAAAGCTCCCAGTTAGTCGACTCTTACGACATGCTTGTTGGGGAGACAGTGGGCCTATTCTTGATTTCCCCCACAGACATATGAACTCCGACTTTGAAGAAAGCTCCCAGTTAGTCGACTCTTACGACATGCTTGTTGGGGAGACAGTGGGCCTATTCTTGATTTCCCCCACAATGGGACCCCGGAATCCACACGGTGAATCGTTGTTGAATAGTCTTTGTTTGAAGAGCCGGAGTCAAACTTGGTATACTTTGCAGTCCTCTGGGATTAAGAATGGGTATAGGTTACATGCTAAATTCTCAAGTACGGGTCAAAAATATTAAAATTTGGAGAGAGGATGAAGAGCTCTGCAACACCGTTTACGTGTAGTTATTGCCGACAAATTCAAGCCCTCTTCAAGACTTAGGACTACTTGAATGCCCTTGCTTGCATCCGACTGGTAGACAGGGCCGCCCAGCAGCATCTGCCTGCTAGGCACATGCCCATGGACGCGTGAACATGATAGCCTCATGTTAATTTGTGTATGCTAAGTGTTAGTTAATTGCCTAAACTTTACAGGACATTGTATAACCAACCCCAACAGTTTCTGGCCGTTGTGGTGTTTCTATGCATATTTACGTCCAGTAGTTTGCCATTGTTTTCTAAACGGCCTGCTACTCGATACCACTGTTGAAACCAACACGAGACGCAAGACTCTTAGCTGGGATCAAACCCGGCACCCCTGCATTTAAAAGCGCGTGCGCAACGCCTAAGCCACAGACGCCGACATGCTAAGTCATAAATGAAAATTGAATTCATGCGAGTGGTTTTCATAGAGACAAAATGATATTGGTCAGTCCAGCGGCCCACAGTGATGCTTAGACGACTCGGCTGGCAGAGTTAAATCTCGATAGGATCTTCAGCCAATGGACAACCAGTATTACCTACAGTTATGTTTGGTAATAATGTAATAAATTATGTGTACAGTAAATAATCCGTTTTACGGTCAAAATGAACAATAGGCACGTTTACTGTTTTTCGTGGAAAAGTTCTGCTTCTGACAGACAATTAACTTTGCATTGTAGACTGAAAGGATATAGTTTTAACGCCCACCTACCTAGCTGAGTGCATGGCGCGACATGGTGAGCTGCGGATTTCATTTGGAATGTTTTTCGACTATGACCAACGTAGCGTTGTGAACTGTAGAATCCGAAAATACCGAGTCGCCTGGATTACAGAATTGGTGGTACCTTATGCGATTAAAATTGATCTCATGTGCAACTGCTGGTCTGTAACTGCTGCTTCAGTCGATGAAGAATTTCATTTCTAATGTCTGACTGTTTGTGTTAGCACTTTTGATGGCTGCCTTATGCTTTCAATAGGTGTGCTAGTGAAAATGCTAAACTGCAGTCTGTATCGATTGTTCCCACGAGGGACAGTGGTGGACAGTCTGTGTGTTTTTCATTAGCACAGGAGCGGAGTTACTATCGTGTAACTCGTTTGCTCTGAAGATGAGACTAATATTAGCAGATTGCCACTTTACGTCCTGTGCGTATTGCGTGCTGCCAGACCCGTTAGTTAGTTAGTTAGTTACTTAGTTAGTAGACAGATTATCCTCATTGCACGTCGAACCACCCAGTCCATAAGTGCTCGGATCCCCTCCTCAGTAAATCCTGCAGCGTGTAGCGGCTAACGACACCAGTTCTGTGTTGGTTATTTATTATTCTTTGGCTACCCGAGTAGTGTTCTTGTTTGGCGACACCCCGTTTAGCAAGTTGTTTTTGCAGTCTGACCACGGTTGCAGATTCACAGTTCTCAGTTGGTTCACGCAAAAGTCTTAACTCTCTTAGAGCATTCAGTATATCAGCCTGGTCCATGGCTTGTCCGGCTTTCACAGTAGCCTCACATGCAAGCCTATCAGCTTACACGTTTCATTGTACCCCCACATGACCAGGCACGAAAATGAAATTAATCCCTGACAGCCGTGAACGCTGTAGAGCCACCAACCACTGCCTTCGGACCCAGCCCTTCTCTATCTTCCTGAGCATACTCATCGAGTCACTGAGAAAGCACGCTCCAGTGAAAGTCTGTGTCTCTAGCCATGTCACTGCTTTAGTCACAGCCATTGTAAGACTACTTGTAGTTACGGCAAAAGCTCCAGAATCTTCCTTCACAACTCTCCCTCCAAACTGAGCCGTGAAAGCCCACAAGCTTCTAACGTGGCGGTTTACAGAACCAACTATGTAACTGACAGCATCACCCTCTAGAGCGTTCTCGAAAATTAAGGCTTAAACTTCTGCTTCCACAGCAGCCGGACTCTGTTGTCTGCATTTTCTGTCGACTTGGATGCAAACAGAAAAAGATGTACAGCACTCTGAAGGCACTCGCATCCACTCCTCGCCAGGTTCTATGTCCTCAAGTGAACATACCTGTAAAATAATGTCCTTGGCTTGACCCATCCACGATTTGCCTTTTTTTAACTCTTTATCATCTTGATTTGACTATGTAATGGATGTTGTGTGTCCGCCTTGACTGTGAGGTAGGCACGAGCTCGGGAAATTTGTATTCTGTCCTCCATGGTCGGAAAATCGAAAAGGCAGCGCATAGCCCTGCATGCTGTATCTCTTGTACACCCAAGTATAATGCTCATAGCCTCTTTCTGTATCCTGTCCATCCTTTCCATCTGCGTATGCCTGAGAGAGTCAGGATCGCCATCACGTATTCAAAAACAGAAAGGACCAAACCCTGGTAAAGGAGACATAGATGACGCTGCTCACAGTTTGCCGCCGCCTCACTCTCATCGCAGCCAGACCCCGCTTAGCTTTCATTAAAATCCTATCTGTGTGCTCAGTATAAGCAAGGCTTCGATCAAAATGTATCCCCGGGTATTTCATTTCATTCGTTCTTTCCACAACCTCAGAACACAGACTAACAACTGGTGTTCTAGTTTTCACAATATGGTTATTCAAAGACCCGTAACTGTATAATCTAACGACTGTCGTTTCTACTTTACAAGAAAGTCCCTTTCAGCCACTTGAGACTAAATGGACCTGATAGCCAAGGTCATTGCTTTAAAAAGAAAATGTAACTCGCACTGGTTTCTTTGTTTATTTAAGAGCACGCTGGCCTGTCTTATGTTCGGCCCTTAAAAACACTAATCTTTCAAACAGATTTTGAATGTGAAGCATGTTATGTTCATAACGTACATACATAATGACATACACACATACATATACTGGCATACATGCATACATACATACCTACCTACACACACTCTCTCTCTCTCTCTCTCTCTCTCTCTCTCTCTCTCTCTCTCTCTCTCTCTCTCTCTCTCTCTCTCTCTCTCTCTCTCTCTCTCTCTCTCTCTCTCTCTATCTCTCTCATAAATACACATTCGTGTGTACCCATACATACATTGGGATTCGAGCCCAAGACCTTCCTATTATAAAACAAGCTTCTAGAATTATCCTCATTATTTAATTATACAATGATCTTGAATGTTCGCAGCCTTCCCATTCGGACAGTTGCCTGCGCTGTCAGTGGACGGGAAACGTTTTGGCCAGAGTATAGCTATCCAGGCATATCTTGCCAGGGAGTATGGTAAGTAGAACCAAAGCTTGATGAGCTACTGGAGACGCTTTTCTTCTTCTACTTTTTATCCCCCAGTTGAGCATATGCCCTCAACCAACTCCTGCCAAGTTTTTAATTTTTTTTTTTGCCACTTCATATAACGCGTAAGCCCTAATTTTGTTCATGTTTTATAAAATTTTTTTCTCCGAGTGTTTTTGGTCTGTATGCATTCCACTGAACACGTGGGTTCTAGCGAAATGACATTTTAGGTACATTATTATGATATTCGCTCTGTGGCTAGGTCGATTCAAAGCTTCGTAATGCCGGGGGGCCGGGTTCGATCCCAGCTGTGGGCCATACACCTTGCGTTGGTTTCGACAGTGGTATCAAGAAAGCCGACCGTCCAGTGGCAATGGCACACTACTGGACGTAAATTTACCTAGAGAAACCAAACAACAGCCAGGGGCTGCTTGGGGTTGGTTCTGCAACGTCCTGTAAAGGATACGCAACTAAACTTTATTATGATATTCAAAACAATATTTTCCCGTAATTAATTTAATTAAGGCGGACAAATTATTATTAATGCCTATTATAAAGTTTTCCCAATGTGTGTCTTATCCAACGCTAGTTTGCTGTCCACTCCTTTTGGTTCAATGGATTTTGTATATTACTATCACAATGCTCCACATTTGTGATTCGATCATGCAGACCATCTGACAAAGCGAGCCAATTAATGAATGATTGTGGTTTAGTAACAAATGTGTTCGTTGTTTCCCTTGTCTCAGGTCCATATAACAGTACTGATTTGACATTAGAGTTAAATATAAATTGACTGCTGGTTTTAATCTTCTTAGGCCTCTCGCGATTTCCTTGTGCAGTGAAAGTATTGTTGCATCAGTACAAATTCTCGCCTGATATTTATTCACGGTTAGTTGCTTATCTTTACTGGACGTTGCAGAACCAACCCCAACAACCCCTGGCTGTTGTGTGGGTTTTTTTCTAGGCAAATTTACGTCCAGTAGTTTGCCATTGCTTGCTGGACGGTCGACTTTCTTGATACCATTGTCGAAACCAACGTAGGGCGCATGGCCCGCAGCTGGGATCGAACCCTGCATCCCGGCCTTACGAAGCTTTCGCATTGACTTAACCACAGAGCCGATATTTATTCACGACGGATTATAATTTCTGGCCATGAGACTCCCTCATCAAGTTCAAGTCGTCTTTAGTGATAAATAAATTCGCACATACTATTCGAGAAACATAGGGAGACGTTGGGGGTGGGGGAAGTATAATAGTAGATAATAGAATAAAGCTTTTAAAACTGTGTGTTGCGACACTTTAGTGTGTCGGCTGTAGTGTGAAGGTGTGTCGCGCGAACATTAAGTGTTAAACAAATAATCAGTACGCGACTTTAAACTTCAACCTCACTTTTGATAATAGACTGTATTTCTGTGCCGTTAAATTATGTTTGGTTTAAAAAAGTCGCAATTTGAAAAGGTTTAAAAGCTCGGGATTAGAACATAGAAATGTCAATATTCAAATATAAACTGCACTGGTTACGTCAGAGTTTGATTAATAATAATTATTATTATTATTATTATTATTATTATTATTATTATTATTATTATTATTATTAATATATTATTATTATAATTATTATTATTATTATCTTCAGCATTCTGAGCCCTTGGGGATTATTGCTGCAAATATCGCCCGCCTCCACTCATCTCTCTGGTTAGCCTTCTCTTTCCAGTTGGCGACAAGTGTTTGTAGGTCTGTCTGGACATTATCTCTCCGTGGTCTTCTTGGTCTGCCTCGTGGTCTACGACCTTTCAGTTCCCTTGTTTATAAAGTTTTTACGTCTCTGTTGTGTGATATTCTCTCACTATGCCGCAGCCATTTCAGTCTGCTAGCTCTCATGATGCCAGAGATCAATGGCGATTTTAAAAAGATTATGAATTTCGTTGTTGCTTCTCACTGTCCATTCCCCGCTGTGTGCATGTTTGATAGGTCCAAAGATTCGTCGTAAGACTCTGTTTTAGAAAAGTTATAATAAGGCTTTATCTCTTTTAGTTGTGATCCAAGTCTCAGAGCCATATAGAACGGCTGGACTTATCAACGTTTTATATATTTTAAACTTTGTATTGCGAGATAGAGACTTTGAATTTAGTAGGAGTTGAAGGGAAAGTTCACTTTATTTCAAGACTGAATTCTAGAATGTATGTCTTCTCTCAGCATGTTGAAGCAGTTGAAGTTTGTACCTAAGTAATTATATGTTTCTGTTTATTTGATTTTCACATTATCGACTTATATGTGGCCGGAGTTTATATCCTTTCCCTGTCGTGTTATTATCATGTATTCTGTCTTATTTTAATTTATAACTAGTCCCAATATGTGAGCTGTTTCTTTTAAGAGAGTCAGTGTTTTTGCAGTATCTGGTTCATTTTCTCTAACGATATCAATGTCATCTGCATAACCAAAAATTCTTGTAGATTCTCCTATAATACACGCTTGTTTCAATTTTGTTATAATGTTCTCTAGGGCAAAGTTAAAAAGAAGTGGGGGCAGAGCATCACCTTGCTTTGAACCAGATGTTATTTGAAAAGGATCGAACTTTCTGCCTTTATATACTATAAAATTACTAGTGTCTTCCATACATAGTTTGGTCACGGTGATTGACCTCCTTGGTATTCCAAAGTCCTTCATAACATTCCATAAACTGTTTCTATGTACACTTTCATGCGCTTTTTTTTAAATCCAGAAAAATATTATGAACATCTCTTCTACGTTCGCAATTTTGCTCTGCTATTTGCCGTAAAATAGTGTTTCATTTTTGTTTATTTTTTTCCTAATAATGATAATAATAATAATAATTTTTTTTCCTGAAGGGTGTTTTCAGCTCAAAATAATAATGGGATGTCCCGTTTTCAGCTCAAGATATTATGGTCATCCTAACTATGGCCCACTGTTGGGTAAAAAGTACAGTAATGGAAGACATTTTTTATGTAACTAGAAACAAGGATATGACCAACTTTAACTAGTGGCACTTAACATTAATTCTTTGCATAAATACTGGAATCTGGGAGCTCAGGTGCATTGAGCGACAGAGCAGGTCCGTCTGGACGTTATGTCTCCATTGTCTTCTTGCTCTGCCGCGTGGTCTACAACCTTTCAGCTGCTTTGTGTATACAGTTTTTACCTATCTCTCATTTGGCATTCTCTCAACTTGAGTATCACACCTTGATAGATCAACAAGAATTCAAAAGATTATATCACGTCCGTTGAAGGGGGAAAACAAGTCGTGACTTGCTTCGTACAGAGTGAGTTAACGATTCCTTTTTCATAAAAATGCCTCAAAGTATGCGTAAAACTAAAGACGTTAGTACATTTTTGTAACTTGAAAAACTGCGTACGTGTAAGCAAGTGTTACTGACTGAGGGGCTGAATACGGATGGGGATTCAGATTCGGAAATTACACTGAACTATAGAGTGGTTACATAAAGACCTTCTTTGCTATTGAGAAAGGAAGTACGAAAAGCTCTAGTGCTATTAGTGCTGAATTCAAAATTTGAATTAAAATGCTTCTTAAAAGTCTTACGGTCGGACGAGTAAGAGTATCTGGGATCTACATTGTATATTACAATAAGTCATAAAATTTTGAAGAACCTGGGGCCCTTTTAATCA